GTCAAAGGTCAGAGGCCAATGAGTTCCACAAGTCCTAAACCTGTGAGTGTGTGTAATGTGATACAGTGCACGGGTCAGTGGTCACATGCTGAAAGCGGGGCCACATGTTGATGGCGACCTCTTGACCCCCCCGCTGCCTCGGTCCACCCTTGACGTGTGGCAACTGGGCCCCAGTTCTGATCACATGATCCTGCTGCCTGTGGTTAATGAGGGGCAGTTGTCAAATGAGCCATGGGCCGGGGGGTGGGGGGGTGGTACTGTTGACATGACTTTACTGGTAAAACAGAAAGACCGATGGTACTAATATTATTGACATGGGTCAGAAAGTTCTCAGACAGGTCTCCTGCAGACGTTAGTGACATCGTAGCGCTCTCGTTATGAACAGAAACTAATCGTGTATAATTAACCTAGCGACCTGTCGTTAACCACTGAGCTAATCCTCCAGGACCTGCAGCTCCAGACCAGAACCACCAGTCCAGTGTGGAGGTAACCATTAACCACTGACCGCTCTGACATGGTGGCCAATCACAGACTGATTATTGTTACATATTGACCCCAGTTTAAACCTGTTGAACTCACTGACCTGCTGTTGGATCAATCATTACACACACACACACACACACACACACACACACACACACACAGACCTGCCTCTGACGGCCTTCATATCAGAACAGTTAAACAGAAACGTCACCGTTAGAGTGGAGCCAGACAAAACAACAACAACAACAACAACAACGTCGATACAGTGGAACCTCGGTTGTCGAACAAGCCAACTTCCATAAATCAAAAAAAAAAGTGAGAAAAACAGAGTGAATAAAGACATTATACGAAAGCATGAGAACAAAGATGGTGTTTCAGAGACAATAATTAGTGAGAAAGCGAATCGAACATCGTCCAATCAGGACTCGTCAGCAGCCGTAAGGACCAATGAAATGACCTATAGCTTTATTCTTTATTCAGTTGTGTTGATCTCCTTTGTTAGATCTAATTATTTTTCATTGGTTTCCTGTATGAACCTGTTCACAAAATACTTGTTTGAATCAGCAATCATCCAGGAAGTCCAGGAACCGATTAATCCATTTGACACTGATTCTTATCGGAAACATTCCGTGTTCCTGAACGTCCTTCAGGAACGAATTCAGTTAAAAAAACCGAACAACAACAACAACAATATCAACAACAACAACGCAAAGAAATGACATCAAAACTGATCAGAGCTGTTCTTCAGGTGAGCCCTTCAGGAACGAATTCAGTTAAAAAAAACGAACAACAACAACATCAACAACGCAAAGGAATGACATCAAAACTGATCAGAACTGTTCTGCAGGTGAGTGTGAACCTGTGACCTGCTGACGAGGAATCTCATCATGTGGTCGACTCTCCTGCGACGACGTACCACACAGACACACAGACACATACTTCAGGGGGTAAAAGACTGTTGTATGTTACACCCAAACACGCCCACACTCATCATTAAACTGTCAGACATGAATTGGAGAATGTATTTGCGGACAGTTAACACCCATAGTGTTTCTACCGTGCATTATCGTGAACTTGTTTTTCTTTCTGCCGACACGCAGAGTCTGACGTAACAGAAACGTGTTAATGTGTGTGATCTGTTCGCAGCCCGGTCCTGGCACGACAAAAAAATTAAAAAATTAAAAAGTGTTACAGTCTGTTATTGTCCTTGATGACATCAAAATATATATTAATGTGTAGAAAATATACTCTTGCATTTTCAAATTTAAAATACAGTTATACACTGAAATATCACAATATTTTGTTTCATGATACTGTATCAATATCAATATTCTACTTTCCTCCAATATTGAAAAGGATAACGCGATATCTGGGTTTGGCTGCAAATATCGGTATCGGTAAAAAGTGTTAAGTGACAATATCAGCAAAATCGGATGGCGGCAAAAAGTGAAATATCGAACATTCATAATTTTCACTTATTGTGATTAGCTACGATCATGATTAATTATGATTAATTCACAGCTAGCCTGTATTAAAGTGGAATATTTGCAAATATATATATCAATATATATACAGAGGGCTTATCCCCCTCCCTCCCCCATTTTAGTCCAACACCGAGACACTGAGAGCTGGTACTGTTTATCATTGTTCCTGCACCAGTGACAGTACTGACGTACACTATGAAAAATTCAAACAAGCTACAAAAAAAGGGGGAGGAGGGTGAGGGGGGTAAATGTACAGACCTGCCTAAGACATTTGCTCTGTTAGCTGTGTGTGTGTGTGTGTGTGTGTGTGTGAGTGTGTGTGTGTGGAGTGTTTACAGCTCATTGGAGACAGTGACACATTGAGGACGTCGTAAGTGTTTACAGAACACTTGGCCTGATGGAGAAAAATCAAATATTTGTCTGTTTAGTAACGGACTTTGAACTAACACACACACACACACACCTAATCATCCACTCAGATGAACAAATACTTTTGTGTGCGTCCGTGGCATAGACCCCCCCCCCCCCCAACCACCCCCCCCCCCCCCCACATCAAGTGGCATAGACCACCCCCACCCCCGAAACCACCGTCTGTCCCAACAGTTCAACTGTTTCTTGTCCACTTGTTAATAAACTGTAAATAAATAATTAGTAAAACACAATCCATGCTGCAGAACATCGGTACAGTATCGTGAAACAAAGTATCTCAATATTTCCGTGTATCGATATTTTCTTACACTCCTAATATTTACTGAAGAACTCCAGGGTTAGGCCCGGGTTCTAACCACAGAACCGTTCGTGTTCTTGGTGACAAAACCCATGCTCGGCCCCACACCCGAGTCGACTAATCCACCTCTGGATGATCTTTGTTTTCGACTGCGTCAGGTCGACCAGAACATCGGAGGCTAAAAACAGACGGCCTCCGTGTCAGGGTTTTACTTATCTCGGAGTTTCCGTCTCACGTTTCATGTAACAGGAGCAACGTAGTAACAGGAGTTTAACCTCGGACGGGAACTTATTGTGTCACTTCCTGTTTCCCTGCTGGTGTCTTATTGTCACCTAGCCTAGCGGTTAGCAACCAGGGCTTCTCTCTCGCTTTTCGTGCTAAATGTTTTTTTTCCAGGTGACCAAGAACTGGACAGGAAGTGGTGTCTGGAACTGAAACGTTGGTAGCGGGGAATCAGTGCTGCTAAACTACAGCTGGTGTACCAGGGGCGGCAGGGGACGGGGGTGCTGGTGGGTCAAAAAAGACCACGACAGTATCAGTTTTTGTGAACTGACAATCCCCCCCCCCTCCCCGAGGGTGAGGGAATTGAGTTTCAACCAATTTGTGAAGTGACTGTGTCAAAGCCGATGTGGACGACACCGTTTTTACTGAGAACTCAGAGACGCAGCTCCTCGGTGCCACAGAATGTTGTTGGTTCAATCCCTCGTCTTCTGTCTCGCCTCCTCGACTAATCATCAACGAACCAAAGGTGGCGCTCTGCCCACTCCGCTCCACTGTATTAATGTGTAACGTCTGATCACGTTGTTGTTTCTTTGTTTTGTTTTTTGTTTACAATTTAACCATGACTCAAAGTTCAACAACTGACCCTGACGAGAGGGAGAGTTACCCCGGACCCCGGCCCCCGGACCAGGGCACCAAAACATAAACAGAGGGGTAGAAGTTCCAGAGAAAAAAAAACATCACAGCTAAACTGTGTTTTTATATCAGTCCCACAGATGTCACTAAAGTCAGACTGTGTGACTGTGTACTGACTGGCTGTGTACTACTGCAGTACACATGTACAGTCACTCAACAGAGTACGCTCACACTGCAGTATTACCACAGATTTATACACCACCAGTCTGCATACTGACAGAGAACATGTCCATGTTTTACCACTGTAACAGTGCCTCCTAGTGGCCAGCTGTGGCAATCTCTGTACACACGCCTAGTATTACTGTTCATCCCACAGATACTGAGGAAGAACTGGAACTGATACACAAGTCAGAAGAATCCAGAGAATCTGATGATAGAACCGATCCAGTCACGGATGGAAAAAACAGCCCTGACTTGGCCCGGAGCAGAGACGACTCAGCAGCAGAGGCAGCACACGCTGAAACCATCAGGACTCACTGTGCCTGCAAAAGGCCAGAGGTTCAAATCCCAGGGTTGATGGAACCAGAACAGTGGGATGGGGGGGTCTGTATGCCCTCGTGGTTAATGGGGGTGGGGGGAGGAAGGTTACATGTAGGGTTAGGTTAACTGTTAGTGTGAATGGTTGTTCGTCTCTACATGTGACCCTGCGGTGGACTGGAGAACCGTCCAGGATGTGGCCACGCCCCACGGTCTGGCTCCACCCCCCCTGTGACCCTGAAAAAGGTTGAAACTAAAACAAAATTTAAAACAAATAAAGTCTTGAAATAAAAGACAATAAATCAATAAATCATCACCAACAGACAGAGGACAGAGACTGGAGCTCAGTCCTGTCCTCTGGTGGACGATCTTTGACATGTCTCAGTGGTTCTGGCAGAGACAGCTGTCACTGTGTGTGTGTGTGTTTTACAAAAATACCACTGTTTTTCAATTTCTTTGGGGGGGGGGGGTTTAGGGGTAGGGGGGGTGAAGGGGGGTTGGGGACTTTTGGGGGGGTCAGCGGTCTCCTTGAGTGAGAGGGTCCAGTCTGAGGTCCAAATTAGGGTGGAGTAGAGTGGGATTAGAATAAGGGTCAGATTAGAGTTTGGGTTAGGACTGAGATTAGGGACATATGTCTGCGGGAGGTGTGACAACCAGAAAAGAAGTGTGTGTATGGGGGGGGGCGAGGAGGGGGGTTATGATGTTGTCATAGTTAGACCTAAGACTTCTGCATATTTTATTGTAAATTATTTCGTTTTTACACAGGGCAGTGTTTTTATACCTCTCTCTCCCCCCTCCCTCCCTCTCTCTCTCTCTCGTGCATCCCTCCAGTATTCAGAGTATCCTTCTTCTTCTCCTCCTCTTGAAAAAAAAAAACAAAAAAAAAAACTCTTGGCTTCCTGCCAGGCCGTGGAACAAGTGCGCCTCCCTTCCCTGCTGTTTAGCGTATTCATAGTTAGGGGTTTGGGCTCGGCTGTTTTTAAAAAGCCACGGCAGCTCTCCGGTTGATCAGTCTGCTCAGGAGAACTTGTGCCGGAGAAAGTACCAGAGGAGTCCGGTCTGAGGAGAGGAAACCAGCTGACACACTCTGTGCCGAGAACTCTTTGCTCCTGCAGAGGACCGAGGACCTCCGGGGGGAGACACCGCCGCTGTGACCGTCCACTCAGCTGCACTTTATTATCATTATCATTAATAATATTCATATTAATCTTATTTTAATTTAGCTTCAGCTGAACTCTTGGATGAAAAACCTCAGGCATTAGCTTTAAAAATCGGATTATCTGCCTAAAGCACTGTGGTCATTAGACCAGCCCCCCCCACCACCACCACCCCACTCCTCCTCCTCCTCCACCTTTTGCTCGCAGGTTTTATTCTCTGACTGCAGAGAAACACCACAACAATGATTGGGATTTTTTGCCCGCTGCTGACACTCGTCCTCGGCCTGTCCGGGGGTTCGGGCTCGTTCGTGCCGTGCGAGCCGTGCGACCAGAAAGCCATGTCCATGTGCCCTCCGGTACCGGTCGGCTGCCAGCTGGTCAAGGAGCCGGGCTGCGGCTGCTGCCTGACGTGCGCGCTGGCCGAGGGGCATGCGTGCGGTGTTTACACCGGGACGTGCACGCAGGGACTCCGCTGCCTGCCGAGGAGCGGCGAGGAGAAGCCGCTGCACGCCCTTCTGCACGGCAGAGGAGTGTGCACCAACGAGAAAGGATACAAGCCCGCTCACGCGCCGATAGGTAAGCAGGGCACGCGCACAGAAAAAAAAAGTATGTGATGTGATGACTTGGAAGCATATATGAGAGCAAATGTGTTGGTGAAGACGGGGAAGTCAGAAAGTTCTAAGACACATGGACAAATGTTTACGGATTAGAAAGAAGAGGGGGGGGGGAAAGTCCAAGTGACGTCATAGGCGGTGACAGCGTGTTTGAACTGAGACGCTGAGGAAAAGTATTCATCATTTATCAACTGTGCAGACGCCAACACGTAATATAAAGGATGAGTGTCAGTCAAAAAGTTCCAAGACAAAATATTTAAATAAATAAATATTTTTTTACTTTTAAATTCCTGCAGGGAATTCCTAGTTTGTGGAATTCTGCAGGAAGTCCGTGACTTCAGGCTGTTTGTCTAAGGACCTGTTGATGACGTGAAGAAGTTTCAGTTCAACTTTGGTTAAAAGTGTGACGTTTGCTCTAATTTGGAACTCTGATGTCAAACACTTGACAAAGAGTTCCTGGAACTGTTTCAAAAAAAAAAAATCAGATGCTGCTAAAAATTCTTTGAGTCTTAGAACTTTTCGACTAAGCACATGCTATCGTGTCATCCAACGATGGCTAAAAATTCTTTGAGTCTTAGAACTTTCCGACTAGGCACATGCTGTCCCGTCATCCAACAATGTTTTTAGTCTCATTTCATAGTACAGGCCACAGAGATGGTTGCCTAAGGCGCCACCTACTGGAGGGGCCACTGCTGCAAGCTCTCAAATAAACCATTAAACAACAAATGAACCAAAATAAACAATAGTTCTGGTACTGGTCCTCCGTCTTATTTGACTGTGATTTAGCCACATTTCAACGTCCGTTTTCTTTGTTTTATATTTTAGTCCATGTTTTGTTCTGTTGGAACGAGGCCCAAAACAATTAGCAAAGTTCGTCAATTCAAAGAATTTTTCTGGCTAAGAATTCATCTGGTCTAACGTTAGCTCTGTACCAGGACTGTTGTAGCTAACATTAGCTCTGGTGTCTGTACCAGTACTACCTCGACATTTGCGGTAGTACTGTAGTATAAGACTCAACGGTTCCAGGAGCTGCTGATGATCTTTGCAGCCCGGTGCAGACAGCAGCTGTCAGGCTGCGGTCATCCAGAGCCAGACGCGGTTGACGACGAGCCAAGTCGGACTAAGACGAGTGATTTAGGGTTGATCTGATTTTCTTTTTTTTTGTAACGTTCTCTTCGCTCTAAAAATCCACCATTGATTTTGATCATTAATGATATTGAATATTAATGAAGTGAAGGATCACAGTTTTAACGGTAAACTCTCTGCTCTACACCAGAGGCAGCGACGAGCTGCTTCAGCCGCTCTGTCTCCACCTCGCTTTGGTTTTAGGTGAGGCTGCCCTCAGGTTAGTGTTAGAGTCGGGTTACCACTAAATCTGTAGCCTGTGCACGACCGAGTGTGTGCACGCGAGTGTGTGTGTGCTGAAGTAGAGAGAAACAGCGAGGCAGAATGGAGTAAAAAAAAACTGTTAGCTTAGTAAGGAGATGGTTCTCAAACTGTGGCAGGTGGTACCTTTAGTGGAACGCCAAAACTCCCATGTTGATTAAGGGACTCACAGAGTTGTTATGCTATATATGCTATAAAAATATTTTGTTAAAATTTCTTCTGATTCAAAATTTTAAGTATATTTGCGTGGTACCTTTAGTGTTCTGGGTAATTTGGTGACGGGGACGAGGGGGTCCAATTAGTAAACTCTCTCTCCCTTTTTCAGAATTGAGTTGAAGTACTATTTGTAGTACTACTTATAATTATTCAGAGTGCCTTTGTCTGATGAATAGTCTAATAACGGAACTAGTGACAAATGATTCTTCGTCATGTTCGGGTCAGTCTATCTGATTTAGCTTTACTTCAGTATTTGAGTTGAAGTACTATTTGTAGTACTATTTCACTATTATTCAAAGTGCCTTTGTCTGATGAATAGTCTAAAAACGGAACTAGTGACAAATGATTCTTCATTATGTTCGGGTCTGTCAGACTACTGGTACTGAGAGTTTTTTCTTGTGATGTGGTCCATTTTATAAACAGAACCAAAGCTGGGCTTTATTTCTTCTTTACTGCTGTTTGTCGCCCCCCGCCTCCTAGTCATGACATTACATCAGAACAGATTTCCGCAAATGACTGACTGATTTCGGGTCTCCGGTGTGTGTGTGTGTGTGTGTGTGTGTGAGAGAGAGAGAGAGAAAACTGCCTGAGGTGTCATCACTCACAAGCTGACATACAATGAACACCCAGACACTTGCACGGCCACGCCCCTCCGTTTGTAGCAGACACACACACACACACACGTACAGCTCCAGCTTCTTTGTTGCCCTCTGAGATAATCAGAGCATCTTTTCAGTGCAGTCACTGCTCCGGCGCTGACTCACACTGGTGATTCAGCAGAATGCCTGCGGCTTTGCTCTTTTTCTCTGAAGGGCCTTCTGTTCCACAGCTCCGTGGCGTGGAACTGTTGAGGTGAACTTTTGGCTTCCTGCGGTGTGGGGTTGCAGCTGTCCGTGCGCCTTAGAGGCCGAGCGGAGCAAACACGGGGAGGAGGGGCTCCAAGTACCGACTGAGGCAAAAGAGTAATATTTGCTGCCCTGCAACCCCCGTCCCTCCCCAACTCCCACACCACCACCACCACCACCACCAAATCCATGCCCTCCCCCCTCTGCTGCTCATAAAAGCCCCAGCCACCACTGTGCATCTGGTTTCATGTCCCAGCAGTGCACTAATTAATGTCTGCCTGTCCCCGGATTCCAGTCGCAGAGATTAAAAAGCACAGGAGGTAGTAATGTTCTCCATCGGTTCCACGGTTCTGTTGAGTGAGTGAATCAGACCTTTAGAAAACTATTTACGGCACCAGGACTATTATCCTCTGAACACACGGTCCCTGCAACAAACTGTTCTTTGTCAATAAATAAAGTACCGCGTACATGTACCGGTACAGTAAGTAGATCATCTGTTCAATGCCCTACTGTAGTTGTTCTTGAGGTGCGGGGGCGGGGCGGTGTCAGATCAGGTTCTCCAGGTTCCTCACACAGTCCTGAAACATGTAAATCAGGTAAACTGTTCACTTTGGTCTTAAAGATTTTGGAGCTTATTCAGAAATGGCGTAGTTCTGGGTTCGAAGCCCATTTTGTCATGAAGTCGTGATGCCAGAGAACAGGACGTACGGGTCACGTCTTCTCAGCGACCCCCGTCACACTCCGCTTTACTCACACACAGTCGTCACCATCTGCTTCTCCCACCTCCACAGCTGGTCAGGGCTGCGGACATGAGGTCCAATCCCTCAGCCTAACGACAACCAGCCACAGTTTGAGCACCGTCTGCTGGGAGCATTATGGACACACCACAGTTACTGTCACTCTGCTCACGTGTGTGTGTGTGTGTGTGTCGCTGCCGTCTGAGAGCTTCATGACAGACAGGCAGCGTATCTGGTTCTAAACCCGTCTCGCTGCAGCTGATCTGCTGTGAGGAGTTTGATTCATGTGAAATGTCAATATGTCACATGAACCCATGACAAAAAAGCTGCAGATAAAAGGTTACACCGGGCTCCGGCCTCGGCAGCAGAACCGCCACAGACCGACCAATGAAACAACGGCACACAGAAACAGGTTTTTCGTGACTAATGGGACATCGACACCCAGAAAGACCAGTGACCACATCTGTGGAACGAATCAAACGGACCAGCGAAGTCGCTGCTCTGGGCTTTTAACGCGGTCATGTGCTCAATGATCTCACCACTGACACCTGGTGGCACGCCAGTCTGGCACAAGAGAGGACGCCACAGGGAAGGTGCTGAGAACCCTAGACACCAGTAGAACAAAAACACAGTCCTCTAAGGTTTCTGGAGATTTGAAAAAACAATGAGGCTCCAGTGACGTCTCCCAAAGGTCAGAACCTGAGAAAGGTCAACCTGACTGTTGAGCTCCTGAGAATCCAAGCTGTCAATCAAATGTCTGGAGTTTTACTTGACTTTTAATTTTGGATCCTTGCATCACTCAACCCCCCCCTCCCCCATGCCCACCACTCAAAATTCAAAAAGGGGTTACGTTTTAAGGCCGCCTGCGATAGAAAAAAAGATAGAGAGAATATTAATAACCTGCGATGCCAGGCCGCCTGCGATAGAAAAAAAGATAGAATATAGAGAGAGATAAAGAGAGAATATTAATAACCTGCAATGCCCTGAGGGAACGACAGCCGAACCACGATACAGCGAGGGACGACTGTATCAAAAATGTCCCCATCTTCGTTGCAATACACTTACGTACCACTAAGGGCCCACAAACCCAGGTTGACTGAAATCAAATATTCTCTATGATTTGATTTTTTTTTTTACTCTTGAAGATCCAGTGGAAACACAAACCCAGCGTTTGTTCGCTGTGTGGACATCTGCCCACAGGAATCGTGGGATATTGATGGTACATAATTGCGTGTACCGGTTAATATTTAAACAGAGGAGGATCAGGTGCGCCTCCTCTGGCTCCTCAACCTCTTTGGCTCTAATGAAAACTTGAGGAAACCAGTAAGACGGAGAGCAGCGGCGCTTCAGGAGGAAGCTGCTCATGACCCGGCTCACTTGGACCGGGTCCAGGGCCCTGGCTGATTTTCAGCAGTTTAACACAGACTCTCTAAGCCTACTTTACAAGCTGGGTGTCCTGAACATGGAAAAACTGAGCTACCGTGGAGAGCCCACTCCAGAGAGCAGGGAGTGAAGCAGGGGAGAAGTCAGATGATACTGTCCGAACAAAAGCTACATGAAATTCAAAAAGCAGATTACGGAGCTCCGGGCTCCTTCACTCCCTAATCCCCTGAACAAGGGCTTGTTTTTTTTTTCCTGGAACCATTTTCTTCTGCATGGTTTTAAGCTTAAATGACATCACAGCCAAAACACCACGAGCAAACAGCAAGTTCTGGTAATCGCCTCCTCCACCTCCCGCACGCCACACCCTCCCACCACTGGGAAGATCACTATTCAGAGTTTGTGTCCATGTTTTAATCGGTACCTTTTCTCTACATGGAAATAGTCGATTCAGCGTTTTTTTTTTTTCCTCGACAACTCCTATTTTCCAACACGGTCTCTGGTCGACACACACGGTTTGATACGATGTTCAAAGTGCACGGCCAACATTCCTCTGGTTCTGTGTTCCACAGCGGGTTCCCTTGTCAGATAAATTTAACCAGGTCATCCACTGGAACAGTTCCTCTGCCACTCAGCGCCTGGCACAGTCCCCACAAACACTCTGTATCTGTGGCACAGCTGAGCTGAGGAGGGGGGTGGGGGAGAGGGGGTGCTGATAGAGGAGGGAGTCTTTCTTTGGTTTTGGAGAGAACCTGTGGCTTCAACAGACTCAGCCCCAAAGATAGTGGGGGCAAACAGGTGGGGGAGGGGCCAGGGTTTGGCCTGGGGACCTTATATTAAGTGGAACTTCCAGTTCTCTGAGACTATAGTGCCCTCTGGGGGAGATGAAGTCATGTCTGAGGAATTAAATCAAATGTGACAGAAATGTTCTGGTGTTTCCACGAAGCCAAGAACTCTTTCCTCGGCTTGACATTCAAGGCAATTTAATGTGAGACACACAGAAGTCTGGGAAAGTAGTTCTGCAGCAACAACGACACATTTGCACCAAATTCAGGAACGTGTGACAAGAATTCGCTTGAAACTGATAAGATCTGCTGCAGAACGTGTCCAGCTCTGTATAAGATGGGATCTAAACGGTAAAAAACGAACCAAACCAGTGACACATCTGAAAAAGAAGAATTAGCTGCACCAGGGGCGTCAAATTAAGGCATGCAGCCTAATTAGATGTCAAGTGGGCCGGACCGGAACAGTCATAACATAATTAACTATAAGCAACAACAAGTCCGGTTTTATACAAATTTCTTTGGAAATCTTCATATTTAATGAAATGTCATTTTACAAAACTTCATGAAGACGAAGTGTTTCTGATTTTTCTACTGTCAAAATGTATCAAGTGGGCCAGATTGAACCTCTTAGCAGGTCAGTTTTGTCCCACAGGCCTGAGCTATACTGTCATTGTATACGCCCAAAGCACCACAGACTGCCAAGGTGGGGATTCAAACCTGCAATCCTTTGTCGACAGGTCGCCTCTCCTCTCACCACTGAGTGGTGGTTTTGTCTGAGTGCGACCTGAATTCAACTAACTCTAACTCTTTGTTTGGTTCAGATCGTGAGTCTCGAGAGCACGAGGAAACCATGACCACAGACATCACAGAGGAGTTCCAGCCCGCAAAGGTACCGCTCCTCCCCAAGGACATCGTCAACAGTAAAAAAGTTAATGCACTGCGCAAGGAGCAGAAGAGGAAGCTGGGAAGGCAGCGTTCAATGGGCTCCGCCGTCGACTACCCCACCCTGCCCATCGACAAACACGAGCCTGAGTTTGTGAGTATTAGCTCGAAGTTTTACACTACGTTCAACCAATTAGGTCATGTCGACATAAAGAGAGAGACTGTAACAGTGGGAGGTGAATGTGATTGGTCACCGTCTTCCTCTCTGGTCTCCTCAGGGTCCATGCAGAAGGAAACTGGACGGAATACTTCAGCAGATGAAGGACACGTCCCGTGTGTTGGCTCTGTCTCTGTACCTTCCTAACTGTGACAGGAAAGGGTTCTTCAAGCGAAAGCAGGTCAGTTTCGTTTCTGACTCAAATATCTTTGGAATGTTCCGTTCATTCGTAGTCACTTTTCATGAATATGTTTTAAAACTGAACCGTACACACACAAGCGGTTTATTTGACCACAAACTTCCCACTGCTGTAAAGTCCACGAACGTGTGAGTAAAAAAGATTTAAGAGAGAAAATTCACTTAAATAAAGTATCTCTCGCTCTCGCTCACTAAAATGAAGCCGAGATAAACCCTAAAGTCTAGACTAAATTAAACCTAACACACAAAACCATTAGCAGGACAATTAGCTGCGACAAACCACCCCATTAGCAGGACAATTAGCTGCGACAACCAGGGCTGGTTCAGAGCAGGTTTTGAGGGGAAAAATGACCCAAATCTTCTAGCAGCCTATGAGGTATTTCTTGACTGTTTACTGAATTATTGAGGCGTTCACATCCAGTCCAGTTCAGTGCAGTACCTCCTTACTACCAGTAGCAGGCAGCACTTAAGGAGTATATACTTAAAAAGAGTCTGTTGACAAAAAAAATTAACCAAAACATTTACAAACTTGTTTAACCAATTAACTTCATCTTCCAACCACAGTGTAAACCGTCACGCGGCCGAAAACGAGGCATCTGCTGGTGTGTGGATAAGTACGGTATCCAGCTGCCCGGGACGGACTACAGCGGCGGAGACATTCAGTGTAAGGACCTGGAGAGCAGTAACAATAACGAGTGAGGCGGGGAGGACCACCTTTGACCCCTGTCCCTCATCCCCTAACTTCCACATAACCACGACACCTCCTGACTGAACACCACCCGTACGCTCCGCCCTTCGTTCACTTCGTTCAATTCACAAGAATTATTTCTTTTTGAATTGGGGAAAAAAAAGATAGAAAAAAAGTCGACCAAGCACTCGTCTCCACACAAGGAGAAACGTCTCCCAATATTCTACAGTTATCTTGACTTTTGTTCAAAGGATCCCTCGAGCTGGTCCCCCCCGTCTGCAGAGCCACGCAAATTTATTCAGACGCTATCTTTTCTAGAGGCAGGAGGTTTTTTGTACAAAAATACTTTCTATAATTTAAACTAACAAATTATTTAGAGGAGAAGCATTAGGCACACTGATTGGAAAGAGATCAGCTCCAAGCTGCGGAACCTGACGCCTCCGTGGAACTGAGGAACCAACGACATGTGATCGGGACACTGTGTGACAGTGGACTCTATCTGGACACGTGGGTCAGAGCACTTATCAAACAGGGAACCTTCTCAGATGTGTACTGAGTATTTTTACAAAATGATGCATGTTTGTACGTGTGTGTGTGTGTGTGTGTGTACAGTGTATGTGTCGTGTACTGATGGAGTGAGCCTCAAAACAAAGAATGTCTTGATATATGTCCTTCTTCAATGTTCTAAATATTAGCGTTAGCACAGCTCGCCGTCGTCCCGGGCGTGGCCCAGAACTACGTCTCCAGACTCAGAGCTTTCATAAACGTGTCGTGAACGGACGGTTCAGGATGATCCTGGTGTGAACGGCTCGTCGACATTGTTGGTACCTTGATATACCATCCGTGCCTATTTCAACTCAACTCCATGCAAAGAGAGAGAGAGCTCACCCCTAGTGGTGAAAGATTGACACTCAGCTGAGGTGTTTGGACTCGGACTGAACCAAACTCTGTGTCCAGCCCAGTCGCCCAGATTTGGAGCATTGTATGGGCCGTTTTCTTTGCCTTCAGTGAAGTGAAGACCCTCCCCCCTCCCCCCTTTGACCTCTCACACTTTTGAGCCATGTTTCTTTATCAAGTCGCCCCCCCCCGTAGCGCTACTGCAGTTTAATCATTGTGTATACCTTTCAATATAGTTATTGAATGTTTATTTGTAGAAACGAAGTTTGTTAACTGTAATTGTTCTTGTAAAAAAAAAAAAAAAGACTTGTAAAAAATTTTTAAAGG